GAGGATGGAATTTTGTCCGCCTACATCTTCAGGTGAATGTGTGATGGAAGTTAGAACAAGCATTTAGTAAAGCAACAGTAATTACCCTGGGTAAATCTTTTCCAGTGGAATACTAACAAAACAGTTGTGGTTTGGGGGTTTTGATTATTTTCTTGCTATAAACAGATGATATAATCAGGAATGCTGTATTTAAGGAGCAAACTAAGGTCCACAAAAGTTGAGTCAGTTGCTGGGAAAGACAACTCATAGATAATGAAAAGTGTATCCTCCATAATTAGAACCCTAAGCTATCTACTATACCAGATGCTCAATTCTTTCCCTGGGACTATGTTTATTACCCCAAACAAATCATAGAAATGAACTCTGCCTATAGCACTTGCTACCTGAGCCAAGAGACAATAAGTACTTGACCTGCTCTGTGAAGGCACCATCCTTTGTAGAATGCTAGAGATATTCACCACCAAACATGAAATGAAACTGTCCTGAGGAAGAAATGGGAGGAGTTTCAAATTGATGGGAGAGATCTACCACACTCAGAAAGAAATTCCAGTGCACTCAGAGAAGCATTGTAAAAGATTTTTCATGTTCATTCACTTTTCCTGTCTATAGTAAAATGGGTTCCTGTAAAAATCATGCAAAAGGGAAAAACAGCACTGACGGGGAATGTTCTTCTGTATATATATATTTCTCTTATTGGTTAATGAATAAAACACTGATTGGCTGATTGACCAGACAGAAGTGACATAGTGGGCAGAATCAGGATATAAGCAGGGACAAACAGGAAATCGCTCTGTTCTCTCTGGAAACCATTAGTAGTCAATCACCATGTGAGCTTCCAAAGGAGTTAGAGGTCCAGATTCCCTTTCTGGTAAAATAAGGCCATGTAGAAATACTTAGATTAATAGAGATGGGTTAATAATTAAGACAGAGCTAACTAATAAGAAACCCTAGACAATGACTAACAGTTTTATAATTAATTTATATCTCTGTGTATTTAATTTGGAGTTCCAGGGTGGCAGGACTCTGCTGGGTCAGAAACTCATGCTTATACAATACCATTTGGCAGTATATCAATTCATTTTCTGTGTATATATTCTGCATTCATTCACTTAACTAGATTCCTTATGAAGCAATTCCTTTTGTAGATACTAGGGAAACAAAGATTTTGGGAAATCTTTAAGAAACTACACATTGCCTCCAAAAATTAAACTATAAACACAATTTTCTTTCAACCATTTATATAATCTTTCTTTGTAAACATGCAAGTGCCTATTGTATGCTTGCGTAACAGTTTTCAACAAGCAGTGTTGGTAGAACAGTTCCCTCACTCCTACCCCCACAGGAGGTCTTCAGTCAAAAACTATACCTTGCTTAGTTTCTCATCTACAAACAGACAAAAAGATGCCTTCTTACAAAGAAGCCTCAATTAACAAAGCCAGATGTCAAACAGCTCTCCCAACTCTAAGACATTCAAAGTTCTAACAGTGATGGTCATTAAACATCTAATAGCCTCTTAGGCCCAAAGACCATTAGCTGAAAACTCACTTTCATGCTTGCATCCAACAAAGACAATGTGAACATGAACTCATTGCTTTCATTTAAATCCTCTCTTGTATTGTCTCAAAACTGTCATGAAATGCTACTAAGTAGAACAAAATGACCCCAAGTTGCATTTAAATAAAGCACAAAAAGACACATATACACACCCTCTAAAAAGAGACCCCCCTTTGAATATCATAAGGGTGCTACTGAATTCCAGTTGCAGACTTTCAGGGTCAGGAGGCTAGAATTATGATTTAAACGCAAACTCTGAGCATGGGAATAATGTGAAAGTGTTAGACAAAGACTGGACTGGGGAGTTGGGTCAGCCAGTTAACAGCTTGTCAGACAAGCATGAGGACTTGAGTTCATCCCCAACATCCTCATAAAAAGTAGGCACAACAGTGTACTCATGTAAAGGAGACAAAGAGAGAAGGATCCTTGGGCTTGCTGATGAGTTAGCCTAGTTCAATAAGCTAGTCCAAAGGCCAGTGAGAGATCCTGTCTCAAAAACTAAGGTGGAATGAACAAACATCCAAAGTCTACCTCTGGCCTTTATACATATGTACTCTTGTACACATGTGCACACACACTCGTGCACACTCACACACACACACAGACACACACATACACAGAGAGAGAGAGAGAGAGAGAGAGAGAGAGAGGAATCACACAAAATGATGACAAATATTTTTTGATCATGAGTTTACTATTGCTAGTTTGCTTATGGTCTGGAGGGAAGATGACCATGGAAGAGGCATAGTAAACCTCTGCCTAGAATGTCCACCCATCACTTATCTGGCTTTATCAATACAGGCATCATTAGATGAGTACAAAGGAGGGAAGAAAACCATATTGGAAGCAGAAGTATAGTCTGATCCCTTACACCATTTAGAGAAACTTCAGGCAATTTAAATTGGCAGGGAAAGAAATAGAACAATAACGATATCTGAAATCCTAGCCTTGAGAGACGGCTCAGTTGGCAAGGTACTTGTTGCATAAACACAGAGAGACACCTTAGTTCAAATCCCCAGAATGCATGTACAGCCAAGTGCAGTAGCAAGTGCCTATAATCACTACACTTCTATGGAGAGATGGGAGGCAGACGGAAGAATCCCTGGAAATCCATGAGATGTAAAACACGATGCACAAAAGACCTTGTCTTAAACAAGGTGAAAACCAACCCATGTGACTGTCCTCTGATGTTTACAGATGTATCATGGCACACATACACCTTCATTTAGAAGTATAAACATACATCCCTATACATTATATATACACATATCATAATAAAGTAAGAGTCACAATCCTTAAACATGATGCTTTTCAAAGTACTCAAGTGCCATTTGTTTTTCTAGACATTACTTTGTCACTGTCTTTCACCTCAGTCATTGACTACAACATCCATGTACTAGAGTCTGTTGATATCTGGAGTAGGGGTTCCATGTCTTGTTTCCTATGAGCAGAGGCCACATAAAAGATGTAAGAGCTGAGGACATTGGGCTGGGCCTTGTGCTTTGTAGCTCTGCAGAATAATAAAGGACAGTTTCCCCACCATGCTACAGTGCATGCTTAAACCAGAGTCTCAAAGAAAGAATGCTGCAAATGGCCCCAAGAAATCTGTCATATTTTCTGGATTCCTCAACGAAACATTCAAAATTGACACAGAGAAAATAAATGTACAAGGAGGAGAGAGATCTTTCAATGTAACACTATAACTATGGTATAGTGTTACCACCAATATATAATCAGAGGAGAAAACAACCCTGAGTCCAAAGCAGAGGGTGCTTAAGATCAGGGAACTATAAAGCCAAGTATCTAATGTTTAAACACTTAATGAAATTCCCCCCTTTAAGCCACATAGGCTTGTGCTGTCGCTTCGCAGGATTCTTTGTTAAGACTTTGAGTGCCCATCCCACATGAGGGATGTCTCTCAGCCTGGACTCTTGTGGGAGGGCCTTGGCCCTTCCCTGGATGAAATGACAGACTCTGAAGATCCACCATGGAGGGCCTTACCCTCCCTGGGGATCGGGGTGGAGATTGGTGGGAGACTGTGGGGCCTGGTGGGGTGGGCGGGGGAGGAGAGGAGGGAGAGGGAACTGGAATTGACATGTGAAACGAGCTTGTTTCTAACTTAAATATAAAAAAAGAGTAGAGAGAAAAAAAAAGAAGAGCTGATGATAGGCTTTGCTCGAAAGCAGGCCTCTTCCCTCTCTAGCAGGACAGATATTACTGGTACATGCCTCTTCTTCTCCAACCATGGGAGGAGACTTACAACTGACTTCCTACCACCATTAAAATGACATATTGCTTCTTCGAGATAATTGTCATAAGATTCCATGCCTGAAACTGAGATGTTTTCTTCTTATTTTCCCACTTATTCTATTTTAAGTGACCCTATTAATGATATATCTCTACTTGAAATAATTGGATAATCTAAAACTGAGAAATAAGCAGTTTCCTGTCCTCATTGTTTTTCCTTCTTTATCTCTAACAGCCCCAGGAGATCACAAACATTTGTCCTCAGGGCAATATCAGCAGTTAATGATTCATGTTCAAAGGCTGTGAGTTGTCTAATTAACAAAAGACAATGTTTTACAGAAGCCATTTTTGCTTTCAAGTTAATAGCACACAGTAGATATAAATGCTATGATTCCATGCAGGTCTTCATGGCTGTGGTATGCTACTGTTTCCAAATGCTCCAATTTCATTTATCAGATCCAAGCTTCAAGTCATTAAAAACAAACTATTCTCATTTGTTTCCTTTTGATTTATTGGCACTCTTACAGCACCATTCACACACCAATCCTCCTATAATGTGGTCATAAAAATTTTTGTTTGTTTTTTATTAAAACGGGCACTTGATTAATGAAAATAGTATGAGCATGTTTTCTGTTAAGTATATTCTTAATAATATCAGTCATTTGAAAAAAATCACAATCTTTAAACTAACCCAATCATCCATTTATTGTAAATAATGACACAAGTGAAGTATTTCCTCAATAGCATACATGTGGCAAGACTTCTGTTACTATAGCAACATGCCATCCTGAATTTTCATACAGAGAGACTGATGTTTGATAAATATTGACATATTCAAAATTACAGTATGTGTATGTGTTGCCAATGCCTTTGAAATCAGCAAAACTTCAACTACTTGATATGAAAGTTTTACAGACACATCATGATCTCAGATTTCAAAGCAAACCTGTTTGCAAGAAACAGAGAGCTTGTGCCTCTGAGATGACTGAATACTTTGCAGGTCCATTTACTTTCATTGCTCAATTCCTTGTCTGTGTTCACATAAGCAAGCAAGATCATGGCTTTGTATCTTCACCATATACCACAGCAGGTAAGAACATCAGCTCACAGATGCAAGCTGTCTTGGTTTGAATTTAGACACCATACTTCTTTATTGAACTTGGAAAAGTTATTCAAAGTGCAACTTTATTGTCTGTAACATGGATACATCGGTGTTGGTTTCTTATGGCTTAGTAAAGGTGATACGTTCAGAATTAGAGTACTTAATACTCATCAAGCAGAAGCTATTGGTGGTATGTCTAGTCTCCATGGCCCTGGAATAACTATGAAATGCTTGTTTTAAAGTAAAAATGAATTTGGAGCATGGTAGTACATGTCTGTAATCCCAGCACTTGGGAAGCAGAGGCAGACCTCTGTGAGTTTGAGGCCAGCAAGTCTACATAGTGATATCTAGTATAGATGATAGAGATGATACAAAGATTGGTAGATTGATCGGTAAATAGGTAACAAAATAAAATAAAACACAAAATAAAAACAGGAAGTAGAATACTAGTATTCTTACTTACAGGTGAGTAAAACTCAGATTCAGAAAGAGGTGGTACTTGCCCTGTCTTAAGGTAGAAATGTCACAAGCTTCCTGTAAATCATTGCCAATTAATCTACTGAGGAGCAACAGTATAACTTTAGGACTTTGTTCCCAAATCCTCCCAAACACAGAAGAATGGGGGAAGCTGATATTCTGGAGTTTCTGCCACTTTCAATCTTTGTCAAAATTGGTTTCTCATAATTAAGAATCATGGTTCTCAGAGAGTGAAGTGGCAACCTGAGACTATAAACTTGTTGAAGAATGGCATCGCACGTAGCAGAGCATGGAAACTAAATGTTTATCCCCACCTCACCTATCCCAAAGGCTTTGCTCTGCAAAGAAAGCATAGAAGCCATCTATGCAAAGACACTTTAAGTAGATCTCCTCATTCCACAGTGACAATTGCTTGAGTCACTGCCTTATGTCATTGCTGTGAAGAAAATTGTATCTTATATGAGTGTATATGAGTGTCTTAGCTCTACATAGTTGAAATCTGTCACATTTGTTCATCTAGGGAAGTTATTACTAAGATCAACATTCTTAATATATACATTGTAAGGAAGACCCAGTTTTCACTCTGAATGTCTTGTTACGTTAACGCGTTAAGGTGTTATGTGATTCTTCTTCCTGCTCCTTCAGAAAGAAAAGGCACTATAACTTGCATGCAAGACATTTTAATTACATCTGATCTATCTACATTTTAAAGGACTCTGTTCACAAAATATACGCACATAAGATTTATTTTTCCTTTCATATTCTATATTGACTACAGCTAAAAGATGACCTAATGTTACATATTAAAGAATTAGATATTAAAGAGTTACCTGAAAACAATGTAATGGGTAAGGCTTCTGTGTATACTTGTGTCATGAGTCTACATTAACCTGCTGTAGACTGCATGGAACATGCCCTGAAGAAAAAAATGAGAACATAACAGTGGTAGTACATGCCTTTAATCCCAACACTCGAGAGGCAGAGACTGGCAGATCTCTGTGAGTTGGAGTTCAGCCTGATCTACAGAGTGAGTTCCAGGACAGCCAAGGCAACACAGAGAAGCTCTGTCTTATAAGAAAGAGAAGCAGGGGTGGAGAACTTGGTCCTAAGTTTCTATATAGCCTAGATGATAAACTGTGCAGTAATAGTAGACATTTGCAGCAGGTAACAACAGTAGTTTTTTTTAAGACTCAAATTAGAGAAAAATACACTTACCAGGTAATTTAATCTTAGAAAATTTGGGGAATTCAGAGCAGAACAAATCTTTAGAAAGAATGAAGAAGGCATAGATATGGCAAGCCCACCAGCATTTCAATATCTGTATTCTCTTTATGCTTTTCCTCCTGTTAAAAATACCATTGCCATTTAAAAATGACCAAACCCCCCACATCCTCAGACTTTTTCACAATAAATGTACTTTCTATATTATCTGTTTGTATGATATACATGCAACAACAGCAATTAGATGTTCAGGGGAATAGTGGTAGATGGAGTATTGTTGTCTGTTTCTAACTGCTACTCCATCTTTCTTCTCATGCCATAGCAGGCAAAGTAGTCTTCTCTGAAAGGAGTGTACATCTCCACCCAATGACATTCAGTCTGGCCTTATAAGTTAACTTGGCCAATGGAATGTAGTTATGGAATATTTTAGGTACAAGCTGAAGATGTAAGGTACTATATAATTCAGTTTCAACTCCTGCTCCTTTGCAAAAGCTCTCAGCCTATATCCAGAAATGAAAAGTCCTATGATATAGGTGTCACAGACATCCTCTAGCCACTGACATGTGATCAACACACAAAGCAATCTTGCTATAAGATTTTAGTTGGGGCTCTCTTGAGTCACCCCCGCGCAGCCTGGGTTCTACGTGCAAGTTGGACGCGCTCCGTGCCCACCCTGCTCTGTACTGCTACTCGGCTTCCTTGTCAAGGTGCCTGAGGAAGTGCACCATGGCGAGGAGGAGGTGGAGACCTTTGCTTTTCAGGCAGAAATCACCCAGCTCATGTCGTTAATCATCAATACATTCTACTCAAACAAGGAAATTTTCCTTCGAGAGTTGATCTCCAATGCTTCTGATGCCTTGGACAAGATTCACTACGAGAGCCTGACAGACCCTTCCAAGTTGGACAGTGGCAAAGAGCTGAAGATTGACATCATCCCCAACCCTCGGGAGTGCACGCTGACCTTGGTGGACACAGGCATTGGCATGACCAAAGCTGATCTCATAAATAACCTGGGAACTATTGCTAAGTCTGGCACAAAGGCTTTCATGGAGGCTCTCCAGGCTGGTGCAGACATCTCCATGACTGGGCAGTTTGGTGTTGGGTTCTACTCAGCCTACCTCGTGGCAGAGAAAGTGGTTGTGATCACAAAGCACAACGATGATGAGCAGTATGCCTGGGAGTCACTGCTGGTGGATCCTTCACAGTTCGTGCAGACCACGGTGAGCACATTGTGCAGGGTACCAAAGTCATCTTTCATCTCAAAGAAGACCAGACTGAGTACTTAGAAGAGAGGAGGGTCAAGGAAGTGGTGAAGAAGCACTCGCAGTTCATCGGCTACCCCCTCACCCTCTATTTGGAGAAGGAACTAGAAAAGGAGATCAGTGATGATGAGGCAGAGGAAGAGAAGGGTGAGAAAGAGAAAGAAGATAAGGATGATGAGGAGAAGCCAAAGATTGAAGATGTGGGATCAGACGAGGAAGATGACAGTGGCAAAAATAAGAAAAAGAAAACAAAGAAGATTAAGGAGAAGTACATTGACCAGGAAGAGTTGAATAAGACTAAGCCAATTTGGACCAGAAACCCTGATGACATCACTCAAGAGGAATATGGTGAATTCTATAAGAGCTTCACCAATGATTAGGAAGACCACTTTCTGTAGAAGGTCAATTGGAATTCAGAGCATTGCTCTTCATTCCTCGGCGAGCTCCCTTTGACCTTTTTGAGAACAAGAAAAAGAAGAACAACATCAAAATGTTAGTCATGTGTTCATCATGGACAGCTGTGATGAGCTGATACCTGAGTACCTCAACTTTATCCATGGCATGGTTGACTTTGAGGACCTGCCCCTGAACATCTCCCGAGAAATGTTCCAGCAGAGCAAGATCCTGAAAGTCATGCGCAAGAACATTGTGAAGAAGTGCCTTGAGCTCTTCTCTGAGCTGGCTGAAGACAAAGAGAACTACAAGAAATTCTATGAGGCCTTCTCCAAGAACTTAAAGCTGGGAATCCATGAAGACTCCACTAACTGCCGGCGCCTCTCTGAGCTGTTGTGCTATCACACCTCTCAGTCTGGAGATGAGATGACTTCCCTGTCAGAGTACGTGTCTCGCATGAAGGAGACACAGAAGTCCATCTATTGTATCACTGGTGAGAGCAAAGAGCAGGTAGCCAACTCTGCCTTTGTGGAGCATGTACGGAAGCGAGACTTTGAAGTGGTGTACATGACTGAACCTATTGATGAGTTCTGTGTGCAGCAGCTCAAGGAATTTGATGGAAAGAGCCTGGTCACAGTGACTAAGGAAGGCCTGGAGCTACCAGAAGATGAGGAAGAGAAGAAGAAAATGGAGGAAAGCAAGGCAAAATTTGAGAATCTCTGCAAGCTTATGAAGGAGATCTTGGATAAGAAGGTTGAGAAGGTGACATTCTCCAATAGGCTTGTGTCTTCACCCTGCTGCATTGTGACAAGCACCTATGGCTGGACAGCCAACATGGAGCGGATCATGAAGGCCCAGGCACTCAGAGACAACTCTACAATGGGCTACATGATGTCCAAAAAGCACCTGGAGATCAACCCTGACCACCCCATCATGGAGACCCTGAGGCAGAAGGCTGAGGCAGATAAGAATGACAAAGCTGTCAAGGACCTGGTGGTGCTGCTGTTCGAGACTGCTCTGCTCTCCTCTGGTTTCTCACTCGAGGATCCCCAAACCCACTCCAATCACATCTACCGTATGATCAAACTAGGCCTGGGTATTGACAAAGATGAGGTTACAGCAGAGGAACCCAGTGCTGCTGTCCCTGATGAAATCCCCCCACTAGAGGGTGATGAGGATGCCTCCCACATGGAAGAAGTAGATTAGAGATCCCCTGGGAAGACCATGTCCTCTATATAGTTTCCCTGTGGCCCCTCCCAGAAGCCTTGGCTGGCCCTGACCTACCTGGCTCTCTGCTCATGCTAGAGGATCTCTCATCCTGTCCTTGTGCCTTAAGGCAGGAAACCCCCTCCCACAGAATAGCAAGGTTGGGTATTGTGTATTGTGGTTCTTTTGTTTGTTTATTTTGTTCTGAAATTAAAAGTATGTGAAAATAAAGACAATGCTGTTTCATAAAAAACAAAAAGATTTTAGTTGGGTTCTGACACTGAATTATGACCTCACCAATATTTTTATGCTCTAATTCCTATCAAAATTCTTGAGAAAATTATCTCTAATAGATATCTTCTCCAATTTCTCTTAAGTTCCCTTTGCAAATCTGTTTCTCATTGTCTACTAGCATTTGTCTTCATTCTATTGCTGTCTCTATCATACAGAGGTCTTTCATATTCCCAACTCAAGTTATGATCTATCTTTTTCCATTTTACCCCTCAGCAGTTTTGAGTGCAGTTGTCCCCACTTCTTAAAAATGCTACCATCACTTGCTCTATCCTGGATTGACTGTGACCTCACTGTCCACTCATCTGTAACTGTTAGTTCCCTTTCTTCTTTCCAGTGACCGGGATTTGCCACGGCCTTGCTTCTGTTTATATATTCTTTCAAATCATCTTATTGAGACATTGGTTTTAAATGAAATCTATGAGACAATGTCTCAAAGCTCATGTGATCATCTGTGTGACATCCTTATCTGTTCATCTGTATGCCTTTCAATGTAAACTCTGCCAGGACAGGATTGTTGATTTTTCCTGACTCTTCCATCAGCTTCCCCACTCCTACAATGGATGCGTATAGCTATACACAAAGCTGACTATGCCAAAAACTAAGGTCCGCATAACACATCTCCAGGCCAGTGAAGAGAAGACATTACTAATGTACCCCCAGAAACCCACAGAGAAGAGGCATCCATAGGCTCTTCCTCACAGTGCTCAGATGAAACCAACCCTCCTCTTGATGCTTTCCTCTCAGAGTGTAAGTCTCTAAAACCATGAAGATTTGGGTTTCTTTAGTTTAGCTGTATCAAATTAATGGAAGTCCCTACACTGCCAAATGAATGATGGTCACTGTCAGCCATGAGATGCATCCTCATCCTTCATCCTGCAGACATGCCTTTGAGTTACAATATGAAAGACAAGCCACTGCAGGCAGGACCCTTGCCCTACAGCAGTGAGCCTAGGGGAAAAACACCTTTGTATAGCTACCTATGGATCCCAGTGACTTGATACACCATTTACTCCTAAGATCCTACAGCATACTTTGGTATGCTGATCTTGTTACATGGTGACCCACCAACCTCCATCCCAGCATTTATCAACCTGTGGGTCATGACGCTTTGGGGTCACCTATCAGATATCCTCTATACCACATATTTACATTACGATTCACAGCAAAATTAGTTATGAAGTAACAATAGAATAATTTTATGGTGGGAGGGTCACCACAGCGTGAGGAACTGCATTAGGGACACAGCACTAGGAAGGTTGAGACTGGGATGAAATCTATCCCATTCTCACGTTCAGGAACCTCTTCTCCCTTATGCTTCCTCTGATTCTGTGGCTATTCTGTCTGATCTTTTATACCCACTAACCACAAACAGGGACAAATATCTCACTAATTTTTCTTGCCAAAAAAAGACATATTCGGTCAAGATTTGTTGAGCTGGCAACATTTTTAATAAAGCACAGTGTCTACTGTCAAAATGGTCACACTATGATAAGCTCACAGCTAGAACCCCTCACAGCTGGAACAAGGGCCCAGCCCGGCTGTAATAAAGCCCTTAAAGGCTTCAGGAAACTGCAAGGCAGAGAAATACTTTAAGTTGTTTTTGGACATCCAGGCATTTCTTCTGCCCTCTCCCATGCCGTTTTGTCTTCCCTCACAGACTTATTTTTATACTTTTAGCAAATTGTGTAAATTAAAGGAGGTTGAAGAGCATGGCCTACACTAGTAAGCTCCTGGGCCATTTTTATTCATTTTCCCTCCCAGGAACTTCCTACTTACTGCACATTTCAAAGCCCCTCTGCAGTAGGGACTGAATCTGGCCCTTGCCTGGTAGCACATCCATTATAATGCTGTTGTTCCTGAGAACAAAAGAGCTCCAAGGTAATTAAATAAGCACTGGGTATTTTTCCCTGAAACAAGAAGTAAACAGCCTATTGCTTTTTCTGTGATAAATGACTTTTTTTTCCTCAATAAAACAGTATTGTTATGGATGTTACAACTCGCTTCCTTTTCATGCCTAGCTGTAATTCCCCAGAATGGGCCTAGATGCTAGTGTTTCATGACATTCACTACTACAAAAGAAGTTTTGTTTTGTTTTATGTGTATAGTGTTTTGTCTGCACACCATATGCATGCCCAGTACGTACAGAGGTCAGAAGAATGTGGCAGGTCTCCTGGAACAGACAGTTGTGAACTGCCATGTGAGTTCTGGAAATCAAACCTGGGTCCTGTAGAAGAGAAACCATTGCTCTTAACCACTGAACCATCTCTTCTGCCCAGAGTGTAGTTATATATATAGATTTCTTACATAGGAAAAATTTAACCACATATATATGGTTATATTATATATACATATTATATATAATATCCACAAACTACATATTATTTTACTAAGCTGCATTGTAGATTGATAAACATAGCAGGGAAGACTCCCTGAATTGTTTCTTATACTGTTTATTTGCCCATACTAGCTTTTCATAATAGGCATTATATAATGTATACTTCAAGCCTCAATGTTGCAAGAAATAGTTGCGCAAAATTTGAATAGTATCCCCACTATGCAGGCAAAAAAAAAAAAGAGGAATATATTTTGTTGACTCTATAATAGTCCAAGTTGAAAACTCACAGGATTTTCCATTTAAATGATTCACATGCCCGGTCCACACTGCTCTAAAATTCTTTAAAAGTTTCAAAGTCAATTCTACGATCATTCTCCAATTGTTCTTGGTCAGGAGGTTATTCTTATGGCCACAATATCTAAAAGACTGGGATCTGTGGATCTAAGGAAAAGGTAAGGAGTCTTTCTTCCCAATATTAGACTAGTTCCATATACTTAGCAATATTTATTTGTGTGTTTCTATCCTGTTCTGTACACAGAAAGCTCTAGATAATGGGGGGGGGAGTAGATAAATTGAAGGTAAAGAAATTCCTTGAAAGAGCACTGCTTTCCCCTGAACCTTATGCAAGCCTGACTAACTGAGTAAAACTTCAGTGCTTGTTGGGAGACGGGAAGGCTGCCATCCAGAGCCTAATTAAAGTATATCTTGGGCTAACTTTAGCCTCCTTACTAGTCATTCCTTGGCAACTCCAATGTCACAGCTTACATCCTTGTAACTATTAGGTGAAATCATTTGGAGGGTATAAACAGACCACTATCTCCCACCAACCTAAAGACTAAAAATGTCCTGAGACAGCATCTAAGGCCTAGGGCCAAGATTCCCCAGCTCTGCTGTAATTTTCCTACCTGATTATCTCCACTAAAGTATTTGAAAAGTGCCTTGATTTATGAATGTCCTTATTTTTATTATTGTAAAAACTTTATGAAACTGTTGCCATGTTGGAATATTGGATTGGGGAAAATATAAATCTGCTACTGAGCCATAATTACTTATGTCTGACTCTGGAATAAGTCATCATTTATTCCTTTGAGGTGAGGGCTGTGTTATTGCATCAATAGTTCACATGGAACATGTGTTCTTTCATGAGATGTTAGAAATACAAAGGGGTTCTCACCAAACACATCTTCAAGATAGAAAGTGAGTGTGCATAAGATAGAAAGAATTTTGGGTTTCCTTGGGCAATTATAAGATTATATTCTGAGATATTCTCTTTTTATTTTTACTCTGGTTGAAAATTGATGACAAAGTATAAATAAGAAATATTATGCTTTCTCACAACCTCATGAATATTAATAATAAATTTAGGTTTTAGTTCAGATTATAGTGTTCCAAATAATGGTGTTGGATCATGCAAGCAACACCAAAACTGGCTACACTACAATGAACCATAATTTCTTTGTTTTTTCATGTATATAAATCTGAGTTCATCTTTAAGAAGACATTGATAATATCAGAATCTAGCCTTGCTGATGCTTAGATCATACTCTTCTGTAGCTGTGCCTCTATCCAACCTCATAAGTGATACTGCAACAGAGCCCGGGCTAACAGACTCCATGACTGTTAGCTAGGTCTAGCTGAGGCTCATTTTGTATCCCATATGTGAGTTAAATGAGCCTCTCCTCCCCAATTCACCCACATCCTTGAGGTCATACTGTCCTTCCCTAGAATGTAAGACTCTGCTCCCTCTCCATGCTGTCCTAGAATCAGAGAGAGCCCAATTGCAACTATGTACCATAGAATGCTCATCAACCATGAGGCCAGAACATCTACTCATTCTCTAAATCTATAAAAAGGGACCTCACTTACTTACATGGACCTGAATTCTGCTAGAGCTCCCATCATGTTGTCTTTCTGAGGTGTTAATATCAAAGTCCCTTATCAAAAGAAAATCTTCAGTGCCCCCTTATGCCCCAAGCCAGAAACGTTTTAGATAACATCTAGGATGCATCCATGCCTACAGAAAACGTTAATGCGTTTAACATTGAATGTCTCCTTTGAAATAAAGCAGCACTGAGCAGTAATGATGTAGCTTAGCTGTGGGTAGACTTCCAAAGCATTAGCATAACTGGAGATTCCCTTTGTCTCTCAAGTGCAGACAGCAGAGCTGTTTTGATCTTTTCCACCAGAGAGACACGATGCCACACAGAAGACATGACCCTATTCAGTTATTATTTTTCTCCGCAAGTCAGCTTTCCAGTATATCAGATCACACTCCACAATACAGATATTCTTATCACCTTTCTATAGGTGTATAAATTAAGGTTCCGAGAATTTCTGTGATCACTGGCCAGGGACGGAACCATGCTATGAACCTATTTCTGCCTTTCAATGAAAGCCACTGGTTTAGACTATTCTGAGCCTTCCCCTCCATGTTGTGTCATTTCATGCAAGTTACAGATAAATTGGCAGAAGGCAAAGTTGTAAAGAAGCACAGTTCTTTTCTTTCTCTTTTCAGTCCCTTTCAAATTCTCCCAGTTGAGGTAGGTGAGCTTAAGGAGAGCCCAGTAACCAGGGCAGCTACCCCAGGGGAATTATTCATTGCTATAT